CATAATCATGGAATCGTTGATCTTCTTCAGTGTTGACATGCTTATATTTCAGAACAGGACAATCTTAATAATTACATCTTCCTGCCCATTTCTAAAACTTTAGGTTCCACATGACATTTCTCCACACTTGGATGATTTTGTCCGCATCAAAACTGGGATGCAGGTATAAGTTCTTCAAATTGGCTTCAGGTGCATTTAATTGTGTTTTATAGTTTACAGCATCTTTCTCTCTTTATTTTTGATACCTCGCACTTAAACTTAGGACTACAATTTCTTGTTGATTGCTTATAGGATGGGAAAAAAAGATTTCGTTTCTTTTATTTCTTGAATTCTCAGTAAGGATTTGACATATCTAATAATCTAAGAATTTCTGTTTGTGGGTGGTAAAGACCAAGCTGTAAGGTTCTGATGTCTTTTGTAAATTAAGCTATTGTTATTGCTTTGTCTTATGACTAGAATATGCCTAAAGTTCATACTGAAATTACAGATTCTAGGGCTTTTAAAGTTCAAAATTATATGTTATTGGTGTATCATGTATATCTTTTGGATTCCTGATTGTTTGGCATTTTCTCCTCTCAGATTGTTATACAAGCTGGATTGCTTAAAGATGGTTTTTGTTCTGTCCAAGATGAGAGTGCTGGTAATTTTTACTGCCATATGACCATGTAGAACCTCTGGACCTCATTGAAACATTGAACAGGAGGTATCAAAGTAATGTGGAATTTCAACAGGGTTAATTTTCATATAGTGAAGTTCTCTGTCTCTTCTTCTCTTGCCCTCTTATTTCAAATCAGTGGTGTTCATTATTTGCCTTTTCTCAAATATAATGAAGTTGGCTACAGATTTTAATGTTTTTCCAATCTAGCAGCTGGTAGTTTAAGCATTATAGATACGTGATTTGTTTCACATGGTTCACATATAATACCTTTTAGACATCTTGGGGCAGGACTGGTTGTTTCCATTGTCGATCCACAACCTGGTGAGAGCATTCTAGATTGTTGTGCTGCTCCAGGAGGAAAAACACTTTTCTTGGCATCCTGTTTATATGGAAAAGGTAATACTTCTAGGTCTGGGTGCTTTGACAGGTGAGATTTCTATAGCCTAGGAATTGACTGAGCATGTTACGTCAGATTTCGGAAGTGAAGAGTGGAAGCTTTACTATCTATGAATGTGAAGCATCTAAACATGCATAAATGCACATGTATGAAACTTTGTAGACAATAAAATAAACGTTACATTTGTTCTTTCAATTTTAGCTGTCAAGTGCCATTTCTTTTATTGATAATAAATTTTGCATGATTATCAATTTTTTTAAGAATTCACCATGTACAGTTTGTTGTAAAATTGGTGTCAGAACCCACTATATAGAGTTTATTGTAAAGTTGGTGTCAGAGCTCACAATGTGGAGTTTGTTGTAAAGTTGGTTTCTTCTTTTGGGAGTGTTTCTGCTACAGATAAATGTGAGAAATACTAGAGCTGAGTGTAACTTTTCACACATCCCCTATTCTACTTGAATACTACAGTACTTTATATAACAATTATGGAGGGGGGAAGGCAGTGGAAGTTACTATCCACATATAATATTTGATTTGGAAAAAGCATTATTTAATGATGCTTGTGATTCTTTGCTACTTTTTCAGGTATGGTAACTGCAGTTGACATAAATAAGGGGCGTCTGCGAATCCTTAAAGAGACTGCAAAAAAGCATCAAGTTCAGAATGTTGTTACTGCTGTTCATGCTGATCTCCGAACATTTGCCGTGAGAATCATCCTCTTCTTCTTCTTCTTTTCTCATTTCACTTAACGGTGATGGTAGAAAGTCTCGAAGACTGAATTATTTTGTGTCTGGCTTCTTGCTGGTTGATTGCTCTTATTTTCATTATATCTCAGGAGAATAACCATGTCATGTATGACAAAGTTCTTCTGGATGCACCTTGTTCCGGATTGGGTGTGCTCTCTAAGGTGTCCAAAGAGTCCCTTATCTTTTTCCTTGAAATTTTTCTTTGAATATTAAGAGATTTCTCTTTGGTTAGACTTCTGCTTTCTTCTTTAATTGTTTAGACTTTTATTTTCTTCCCTTTTTTTGCTGAAGAGAGCGGATTTGCGCTGGAATAGGCGGTTGGAAGACATGGAACAACTTAAAGCTTTGCAAGATGAACTTCTTGATTCAGCTTCAGTGTGAGATTAAAAGTTTCATTTTTACTGTCTGAGTATGATATTTCATATTAGACCAGTAAGATTGCATTTTTGTACTAATAGTTCATTGTTTTCTTTGAGAAAGCAGTAACTCATATATTGTGAGTTCCATCCCTCTTTGAGAATCGAGACTTCCACTTCTTAAGCTGCAATTTTGCCCTGTTAAATGGATTTTTTTTTTAAATCCATCTTTATCTTGTGAGGTTTTAAAATTCAATATAAATTTATGAGAGAAGCCAGAACTAATTAGTTTTCAACCTGTTCTTAAACGGTTCTTGCATCGAATTCCTTTGGATTTCAACTCAGAAGACTGATCCTTGTTGTCACAATTTATCAACTGTGGCAAGCCAGGAATGGCAAATTGTTCCAGGCAAAGCAAGTGTCATCTTTAGGAATTATGCAAACTATTACTGATACAGTACAATATGTGGTAAAGTCTTGGGGCAATTTCTCAAGGAATAGAGAAAATTGTGATCTTACAATGGAGGGGCATATCTCTGAATCAGTTCTGCTAAGAGATACTGATTTGGTTGTTCGTTTGTATATAATGTATAGTTTTAGAGTTATGTATTCATGTAGTAAGGGCATACCCTGAAGTGTAAATTTCTTGGCCTTATTCAATAAAAGTTTCACATTTACTCAAAAAAAAAAAAACCTTCTAGTGTTATACAGGTGTGTAAGCAATTATTACTAGTTTTAGATGGTAATTAATTGATTTTATTTTTCTATTGGTGTATGTATGTAACTGTATAGCTAGTGTTGTAAAAGTATTTGAATTTCTGTAACCCTTCATGCTTGTGGCATCTCTAGGTTGGTGAAACCTGGTGGACTTCTAATATACAGCACCTGTTCCACTGATCTGGAAGAGAATGAGCAGAGAGTTGCTTCGTTTCTTCTCAGGCATCCAGTAATGACATTTGCACTTTGTCCTGCTACTGTTTTTTCTGTTTTCAAAATTGTGCCATGTTCCTTGCTTAGTGCTCACAGATTGTTTCCTGGGATTAGCTAAGAGCTTAATTGAAATTTTGGGGGAATCTTGCTTACGATATGTAACTGCTGATATTCTAAATTAGAAACATATTATACAAAATTTGCTCGTAAGCCCCTCATTTTGATTTTAGAACCTAATTTTATGAACATGATGCAGATGAAACCTTGCATATTCTGATTTTTAGTGTATAATTCATAGAATTTATTCATCTTGGGAATTGAAAAGACCAAATTAATTGTGTATTGAGCATTTGGTGTTTTACTGCCTCAGTTGTTAAACACTAAAATTTGAAGCATTATTTGCTGATGCAGGAATTTGTTGTAGATACAGCTGACGGATATGTACCTCATGAGTTTGTCGCTGAAAATGGCTTTTATCACTGTAATCCTGTAAAGCATTCACTTGATGGAGCATTTGCAGCTCGTCTTATTCGATCTTATTGACTGAAGACTGGATGGCAGACTATTAAGTTTCCTTATTGCCTATTGAATCCTGCATAAATGGATCATCATCATTTGTTCCTTTAGGTAGCTAACATTCTTGTTCAGCAAAGTAAAAAGTATGCTTACTTTTTGTTCATAAAATTTTGAACCAAAGTGTACTAGTCAAAGCATCTTAATAGCAGTACATATTTGTTGACGCTTGGAATATTTCTTGTGTGGTACTTCATTTGTCATACTTATGCAGGGGCTTAATGCTTCACTTGTTGACAAACATGCAACCCCATTTTTCGACTGAACTTCATTTCTGTCCTTGTAATTTGGTGAAGCATTCACTTTCGATGGAGCCTTTGCTGATTGTCATCCATGATCAATATATGATGAGTAAGTTAATAGTACTTTTAACTGTCTATAACCTGAGATTTCTCCCCAGCATAGCTAGTATTTTTTTAGCAAACTACTTCTGACATAATTTTATCAAGTTTGACTGCTTTGCTAAACATGGACCAATTGTTACTTCGTTTTCTTGAAGTTGCATAAAAGTTCTTAAATTTCATTGGGAAGGAGTGATTGCTGGAGATGGCTGAGCTGAGACATGGTACATGTAGTACAAGGAACACGCAAGTAGGAAATTGTTAAGAATACTGCAGCAACAGAGTAGAAGCACAGAACTGGCTCGCTTGGAAAGCAATGAGTTGCTGTACAGAGTCTACAGACTGCAGAAATGGTATGCACATAGTAGGACGCAAAACTGAGGTTTCTCTCGAATGTACTGCTTTGGTATTTAGGAGAATTGCTTTAGCTTTAACACTGGAGAAAACCATTTATCACAGTTTGCAGGCATTGGTTGGGTGTAAAATATATGGACTATCTTGTAATTTAAATGACTCAGTTCATTTATTAGCATTTGGTTGTTGAGGTACCAAATGCGAGTGTTGTAGCTCATCTGTTTCAGCTTTAGTCAAGTTTGGTAAGTGTTCAGTGTTTACAGCATCCAAGCGTAGAGAGTTTGCTTCCTGCCAGCAGCTACCCCTGATGTGGCAATGGAATGTTATTCTCCTGCCTTTGTGTATCGATTTCCTCGTTAATTAAACCAGCATATCCCATATGAGCAAGATATAGTACTGACAAGACTCAGAAACTGGGATAGGAAGTCATCTGAGGGGGAAATTTTTCTTTTTTCGTTGCATCATTAACATGTTTTACGATCATTTTTTTATATTTTTAACTATCTTTTTATCTCACGTATATTGCATCACTCACAAAAAAAATGGAATATATTTTTGTTCTAAAAAAGAAATTCAAATAATCTTCAATTCAATTCAAACGGACCCAATTTATTTCTCAGGCTTCAGAAAGAGCTAAAGCGTGATATTCAGCACTTCACATAAAATCAGGGCTTTACTCCAAATGCCCTCAAAGGCGGGCTTTTTTGGCCCGATACAATGTTGAGCCTTGAAGTCTAAATCAGTTTAAATGCTCTTGCCTCCATTGTCCGGTGTCAACCAACCGTCAAAACAGTCCACAGAGCAAGAGAGCAGTGGTTGGAGTATCAGGAGAACTAGGAGCAGTTTCGACATCAACAAAATCAGAAAAAGAACTCGATAGTCTGCAAGCAACCTCCCATTACCAGATTTACCGACAATTCACACAGATGCAGCATGGAGGAAAACTAGTGGTAAAGCTGGGTTAGGAATTGTTGCAAGGGGAAGTGCAAAAACAGAAGAGTCGAGAAGTGTGCAAATGCAGCATTGGGGGAAGCACTCGCAATCAGAGAAGCAATGGTGAGAGCTAAAAGGGAAGATCGTGATACAGTCGGACTGTAAAGGCATCATAGACAGAATCAATGGAGGGAACTATGAAGATGCCATTATGGGGACGATCCTGGAGGATATTGGATTTGCCTAAAGAACAGTTTCTCTGAATGTTAGTAGTACTTCACTTTCATCAGAAGGCAATGTAACTCTGTTAGTTGGCTATAAACTTGAAACGTGACGTTTGCTGGAAGGACTCCATTCAAGCAGCCCAGGAAGATTGCAGGGCCGTTGTCTATTCATCATATTCATATTATGGTTGGTTATGTGAAATAGTACAATTTCTGTCGTTTGGGGAAAAAAAAAGAATAACATAAAATCAATTAGCCCAATAAGCTTTGAACACGTAATGCTCTGCCGCATCCCCAGTGGTAAAATAAATCATCAGCTATGAATAGTAGTAGTAAATTCTATGGAACTAAAATCCCAGTAGTAAGAATGTTAGTAGTAATGAAGAATCTCTTCACGATTAGGGCTTTTCATAAAAGCCTAATCTCTCTCTCCTCATCAACCCGCCATTTCTGCTGCTCTTCTTCTTCATCAGCTTCTACATTCGCTATTAAAAATGTTACAAAATCCAACTTTGAGTCCGCGCTCAACGACCTCCGGCTCTACGTTAAAGACGCCGACTTTGTCGCCGTCGATTTGGAAATGACCGGCGTCACCAGCGCTCCCTGGAGAGAGTCCTTCGAGCTCGACCGCTTTGATATTCAGTACCTCAAAGTTAAAGACTCCGCTGAGAAATTCGCCGCTGTCCAGTTCGGCGTTTGCCCTTTTCGATGGGAGCCGCACAGACAGTCCTTCGTTGCTCATCCGTAAGAGCTTGGCTGACCATTCTTTTTTTTTTTTTGGAAGTTAAATTGCATTGTGTTGAAGGATTGGGTTAACTTCCTTTTCCCTGATTTGTCCTGTTTGGTTGTTCAATATGGCAGCTATGATGGAGGATATGACATGTTTTATTTAGTTTAATGCTAAAAGATTGAATTTTTGGAGGCAAAAACAAGGATTTCACCATTGTTTCTTATGGGAAAGAGAACATCAGTTGCTTTTATCTTGCAAAGCTGATTAAGAAAATGAAACTCGGTTTGGGGTACCTGGGTTTCTTAATTAGGCATTTAGGCCTTTGAATGCTGGCATAGCTGTTGAACTGGAGGAACAATAGGAGTTTAGTGTTCCACTCTCACCGCTGTCATTGCATTTGAGCTTTGTGAATAATATGTAGATTTGAAGTATCATTTGCTGCTAACATCGTATTGGGAAGTGTTGCTCATGTTGTGATGTTGAATTGGCAGGCATAACTTCTACATATTTCCGCGCCAAGAAATTAAGGGGGATGATACATCATATGAATTTCTTTGCCAGACAACCTCTATCAATTTCTTGGCTAAATACCAGTTTGATTTCAATTTGTGTATACGTGAAGGTATCTTCTTTAATTTCTCCATCGTCTTTGTTTTTCTTAGAACCATCTTTTTTTATTCTTTACCACAGAAAGAAGAACTAAGAAGAAGGACGAAGAATAGAGGATAAAAACACCAAATTGCCAATTAAATTCTTATTACTAATTATAAGACATTAAATGGTTGCTTTTGTTTTGAGATTTTACACTTCTTTGTAATCTCAGGAGTGTCTTATTTATCCAGAAGCCAAGAAAAGGAAGCATTGGGGCGGTTAAATGCGAGGTACAAGGACCGTCTACTTGATTCTTCTTCATGCTGGAGAGAAGGTGTAGACACTAAATTAGTAAGAGTTGCTGACATTCTGTTTTCTGAGAGACTCAAGAACAAAATCGCTGAATGGCATGATGGGTTGTTAGGAGATAGAAATGGAGCATCACAAACTTGGAAGACATCAAATGATTCCAAACAACAATTAAAAACCATTTTCTTCAAGATGCGTCCAGCCCTTGATCTCACTGGCTTTACATCTCATCAACTAAGGTTGATTCAGTTGGTAATGTGTAATTGTTGTTTTTAGTAATCCTTGACATTTTGTTCCTTCTTATTTCTATGATTGGTTCATGCTTTACCTAAATCTTATGGGGTGCCTTTATACTTCTCGTGATGCCTTCGAGACCATGGCTTTGATAGGCTTATATCCTTTGCAATCTCTGACCTCCAGTTCTCTATGAGCACCTTACTGCCCATTGTAGGTTTTGGTTGTGTCAAGTACCAAACTTTGATGTGTATCTGTTGGCCTTTCTTCTGAGACCACTTGGATATGAGTTGTTTCAGCCCTAGGCCACAGAAAAAAGCAACTTGTCCTATTTGCAGTAAATACAATGGATGCGATAGAAGATTCCACACTGTTCCAGTGGGGTAGTTAGTGAATAGTCAGATATTTATGGAAATCCATGTATGCCAAAAGTCATGTTTTATTCGAATTTTCATTGAAATTGTTTTTTTTTTTGCCCAGGAAAACTCCCCTTGGGTTGGATACCTGAAGCACTTATGCCACAATGACACCATTACTTTAAGCTGCTTACTGTTTATCTGCACTTGCTCCTGCATTGCTATTTTGTAAAGCTGACAACAATAGTCATTTTTCATTATTTTGGTGTATATCTTGTTTACTTTTGATGTATCTATAAACTTGAAATATGTAGGTCGTAAAGAATCATTTTGAAGATCTTGTATATGCCTGTGTGGCTGGTGAAAGTTCCTCACAGCAGTTAATTGTCTACACAGATTCAGCAAGTGGTAGGGACTTACTTATGGTAAGCTGTAGGGTAATCCTGGGAAAAAAATTTTCCCCTAGTGCTTGAAGTTTTCAGGCAGGGAAAGCAACTTTTTTTTTTCTTTTTGGGTAAAGAAATCAATATAAATTTTTTTTGTGCTATTTATAGTGGTTTGTGACCTGCACTTTTCAATGGGCATTCTATTTGCATTGGACATTTTCTGCATCTTGGTGAATTAGCTATTTGATAGATTTGCAGTAATTGAGCTAAAGATTATCCATTAGCTTAAAGTGGTTAAAAGAACACAGTGGAAAAACCAATATGTTATTGCCTCGTTTAGTATTAATTGCTACTCGTGTGGATTTGATCTCTTATTCCCCAATCTTTTGCAGAAAGAATTGAAGGATTGCCTTTGCAAAGAAGCAGAAATGAAGATCAAAGCTGCTATTGGATTTCGACATGTTATTGATCTCCTCTCTTCTGAAAAAAAGTTGATTGTGGGTCACAATAGCTTTCTCGGTATGACAAAACAGGAAATTTGTCCAAGTATAATCTCTGTATGCATTTTTGGTTTCGCTTAAAAGCTTTGTCAATCTGGTACAGATATTGCACATATATACCGAAAATTCATTGGTCCTCTTCCTTCGACTGCCAAAGAGTATGTTATCTCTATCCAGAAGTTCTTCCCCTACATAGTAGATACAAAGGTGCTGCTGAATGCAAGCACTGTCTGTCAAAAAATTTCGAAGAAGAGTAGCACTTCATTATCGAAAGCATTTGCCTTACTATGTCCACAAATTGCTTCGGGTGTTAAAACCTCTGGTTTGGCTGATAAACGACTTGTTAAAGTGGAGGTTCAAGTTGATAATAAGAGGTTTGCTTTCTCTATTGCTTTTATTTGCTTCTATTTCTGCTAGTAAAATGACAAAATTCCCGAGCATGGCTTAATTCATTTCTATCTTAGTATCTTTTGCCTGAATGGTAGATCACATGGTAACATCTGAGTCTCTACGTGAACTATCTTTTGGATTGTGCATATGTATCATAAATACCGCAACAGTCACAACTGAAGCATTTGGAAGAAAAATAATCTGTAGATTTCTAAATTCTACATGCATCACTCCCTACATCCAACAGATGATTATTTTCCATTGTGCCTTATGGTTCTGAAATTCTGTCATCTGCAGGTCCTTAAACTGGAACTCCGGAGCCAAGCATGAAGCTGGATATGATGCATTTATGACAGGTTGTGTTTTTGCCCAGGCATGCAGTCACCTTGGTGTTGATTTCACACTTAATCCATCATCGGTAGATTTGTCTCACCATGAGAAGCTTCAGGAGTACATCAATCTTCTCTATCTCAGCTGGATTAATGGAGATATCATTGACCTAAAAACTGGGGAACGTAAGACGGACTCTATTTGTTCTAAAGGCTTCAAAGCCCATCACTCGAAGATTTTGTTTTCAAACACAGTTCTGTTGTGGGGATTTCCGGCTAAGCTCAAGGCAAGTGAGATTAGAGAATGTTTTTGTAAAGTTTTTGGTTCATCTTCTATTACCTTCATCTACCACCTGGACAAAACTGCTGTCTTTATCCAGTTCAGCAAAGAAGAACTGGTATCAGATTTTCTGGTATTGAAGGAAACTTTAGAAAGAAGTAATGATCCAATCTCAGTTTTGCATCCCCTCTCAAAGGTATTGCAAGGGGGACGCACTCGTGCTGCCAGTTATGAGGTTTATAAACAGATATGCAGTTCAACTATTTCAAAAGTTTTCTTTGCAGATCAGGCTGAGGCCGTTGGTATTGAATGGAACGCCAAATTGTCAAAACCTGTTTTAGAGGTGGAAAGACAGGTTGACTTTGAGGCCAGTGAAAATCAGCTTGACACTGATGCTCGCAATGAAACAGAGATAGTCTCTGGGATAGATCCTCCACTTTATATGCATAGCCCGACTGATGAACTGGATTCTTTGTGCCCCGCTGAAGCTCAGATGAGCAAATAATGTAGGAAAATCTTATATCTGTCCAAGAGGCCTCGTCTGATGTCTTCTAATTGAATTGATTGGGCTATAATCAAGAGAAAGTATTCATACTTCATACGGAACGATCTCCATATAGTTGATGAAATTGTTCGCTGAATCAATCAGTTAGATGTATAGTGTAAGTTGTTAGCTGGTTGAATCAGTAGATGTATAGTAACCCTTGAAACAGACAGTCAATTTTGTTTAGCTGGGGCCTGGGAGTATATCGAATCATCTCTTCATGATTTCCCTCCCTTTTCACTTATTCTTAATCTGCTGTAATTTTTTCAACAGCCTGAATCAGACTTTTGTTGTTTTATAAACCTAATCCCACAGAATTAATCTGCTGTAATGATGTTGCCGAAATCACAGTATGACGCTTCAGGAATTGCTTTTCCAGTCTATCCATCAAAACAGTGATAAAGAACTTGAGCGGATATGCTGTGGCCGGTAGCTTGGATGCCGGCATCTGCCCATTAAATCGATCTATCTGCCAACTGCTGTTGCTTTAATGTACGATTGGGGTGAGCAAAATTACGTAAGAGTAGAACTAAAACCAATATTACCGACATTTGAAGGTTGTTTGGGATCATAAGCCAAAAAAATATATAAATATATATCAATCAATGACTTCATCGAGAAAATCGTTTTGCCATTGCAAACCGGAAGAGATCATGCAAAAGATATACCTACGCAAATTTCAAGCAGTAGCAACCTATCCTGGAAAGAGATCGTCCAACAATTAAGGATTAAAATCCAATACAAAATAAAAATCTTTTGATGCCATATAAATGCTTCCTACATCAACCAATACAGAAAAACGATGACGCCTCCAAGAAACGTCATGAAGTACGATGCAACAGTGAGCTTGTCAGTAGAATTAAGCGCGGGCGGCCCCCAGTTGTTGGAGTTGTCCCAAATATCTTCTCCTCCGCCACCATTTGGATTGGGTGCAGCCGGTGATGGAGCAGCTTGAGGGGGCTCAACTTCTTCGGAGGGGTGCATCACTCGAATGACGAGCCTTTGGCCGGATTTGCAGTGGCCTGGCTGCCCGCTGATGAAATAAAAGAGCCCGGATCTTTCAAATTGGAAGACGGTGTTCCCGTCGTCAAACTTGGAAATTGGATGCGATGTTCTGCAGTTTTCATAGTCACTGGAGCTGACTACCAGCACCGAGTCCTCTTCATACCTGAAGTCTGCAATGAGAGACCACAAAATCGATTGACTCGTATATATTAATATCGCAACTAATCATGGGAGATTCTTTTCTACAATATATAGTATTTCATTTTCAGGGGGGGATCTTTCTTGTTTCTAATCGACCGTGTACAACACCAGCTACCAGGAAAATGACAAAAGAATGACCAGATCGACTTCGTAGCTAGTTCATCAATTTACAATGGGCCCCAATATATCCCCATGCATGCATGTGCATGCAGTAGATTAAAACAACAGCAGCAGCAACAACATTTTCACTCATCCATCAAGAATGTAAGAACAGAAGTAAAATGGAGTGCAAAACTGGTAATTAAGGAAGGTTAGAGCAGCAGAAGGATGAACAGTGCGGAGAAGCCGATGAATGATGTTGAATTGTAAAAGCTAGCTAGGAACTCACAAACAGAATCTCCAATGTGGAATCTGTGTCTGGTAGCCCAGTGGTTATATGCTTCGGTCTGGTTTCCTGTTGGTTTGACCCAGCCTTCCTCACCCCCGACTTGGAACTGGAACGAAGATACCAAGACAGCCATTATAGAGGCAACAGATAGGGGCCATAATATGGCATTTTTCAAGACTTGGGCGGTAGTTATTGCTGAAGAAGCCATTACTTAGTTACTGCCTAATGATGGCAACGGATTGCTGGTAAAGAGAGCAAAAACTAGAGCAGAAATGAGATTTATTGCTATAATTCCAGCAGTGACATTATTATTTATATTTATTATAGGCAACAAATATACAGAACAGAAGCATCGCATGGCAGTTAAAAGGTGGTGACGAGGAGTCGTGGGAAGTGGGGTTGTTCAGTTTAGCTTACGTGACTTCCTAATGTCGCTAGTGGTGGGCTGTTGTGGACAACGTGCAATTTGTTGGGCTTAGAGTCCAATTTCCCAAATGCCCGTTGGAGCTTGTTCATCGCTTCCTCTAGCCACGGCCCAATCCTCCTCGACGGAAAAATTCTTGCGCTTTTACTACTCTTCATTCAGAATTCGAAGTAATTCCTATAGCGCAGATTCCTAAAGAAAACCACTAATTCATAGTTAAGGTGCTAGGAATGGAAGCTGAGCAACACGCATCAAGATTAAGATGTGCAGAAAAAACAGAACTCTCAGTGAAGAGGTGATTTTTGGTGGGTAGATAGACCACCCTAAATCAGTCCTCTCTGAGATGAGGGGAGGTGAATTCTTCTGTCCGAAGTGCACCTTCTTGTCCGAAGTGAGTGGCGGGGCTTCTCCCCTGGGATCACTCCGACGATCAAGTTAGTATGAGAACAAGAATAATAAGAGTATAATCAAATGAACAGTGTGCTTACTTGTTGGGAGTGTGTGAGGGATATTTATAGGAGAGTAGAGGACAGGACGGAAGGCTCATGCTAGTAGGACCCACTCTCTGGCATTACGGTTCTGTCCCCTGTCAGGAGGCCTGACTCTGACACTGTAGCAGTCTGGGCAGGGTGACGGAGGATCTTGCTCAGTGGCCATTAAGTGCGTCCAGTGTGCTTTTCAGATAAAGCACACTGGTTCCGGGCGGTGTCAGGTGGGTTGATGTCATCAGCGTGCAGCCGAGGTGGAGGTGCCGAGATCACCTATATGGTAGACTAGGGATCCGGCCGAGCTCAGAGGTTATGCCCAAGACACGGAAGACCTCTGATGAGGGACGAGGTGGGTTCACCTCGGACATGTGGGATGACCGAGGTGAGCATCCTCAATAAGCCCCCCAAGCCTCGGGAGCTCCGGGCCAAGGAGGTACCGAGGCTTTCTTGTGCCGAAGTCGTAAAGAGTCGGGGTCCCGAAACTATTCCGGAAGATGCGGGGACGTGGTCACTGGTAACCGTCGCGTCATGAACTAGTGGGACGTTTTGTGCAGAGGGTGTCAGTCGAAAGGACGGGGCATTAATGAGGAGAGAGGGAGGCACGGCGTTTTGAATTCGAACGTGGCCGTCTTTTCGTATCCTTGCCGCCTCTTCGAATTCTCACCGCCTTTTCGTATTCCCCCAATCCCCTATAAATAGGGGGTTCTTTTCACCGCATGGCCCATCACTTTTCCTTCTTCTCCTGCGACTTGCAAAATTCATGAGTGTTACCGAGATCAATCCTGACAGCCGAGATCACCGCCGAAGCCATCACCGCGTCCGATACCGTAGTCAATAGTAAGTATCTTTCTTTTCATCTCGTTTTTCACACATGGCCAAAACAACTAAAACCCATAAGGAAACCGTAACACCTAGCTATCAGACCGAGGAGGGACCGGATACCGTCGAGGTGCCGACGTCATCCAGCTCAGAGGGATCTACTCCTAGTGATGCGGGGGGTCAGCCGAAGTGGGAACCAGCGAGGCAGCCTCGGATTCGGAGTCATCCGAGATGAGTGAGGGTGGTTTCGAGGTCGTCTACAATAGTGAGCTCGGAACTGAGATACCCCACGACAAGAGCGTATTGCAGCCAGTCACTCCGAAAGATGTAGCCAAGATAGACTTCGGCAAGATGCCGAAGTTTAGAAGCCGTATGGGAAGAGATAGGGCTGAGAGGGTGATAAAGAAATATCCCTTCCGGCCGGGGTATCTCATCACCTCGCCTGGGCCGGACGACTCAGCCGACGAGCCCCTCATGGGCATGGTGGCGATCTACGTCCAACAGCTGGAAGCCGGGCTGAAAATGCCGACGTCGAGGTTCTTCAGGGACGTACTTCGTCACTTCCACGTGAGGATTACTCAGCTCACACTGAACGCGGTCCGCATTCTCGTGGGGTTCGAGATGCTGTGCCGACATCAAGAGGTGACTCCCTCCGTGGATCTCTTCCGCCGATGCTACACTCTCAAGGCACACGGGACGGACAAGGGATGGTTTTACATCTGCAATCGGAACAACTCCATCTCGAAGCTCGTGATCGGTGCTCCTTCTTCGATAAAGAACTGGAAGCGTGACTTCGTCTTCGTTCCAGCCGTGGACTTCCCTTGGGGATTTTGGTGGAGGCCTATTAAATCAAAGGCCGACCCCTCAGCGGGGGACCACGAAGAGGAGTCATTCCAGAAGTAGATGGGGTCTGGATTTCGGCTGTTCAGCAATGACTACCCCGAAGCCGTGCTGGTCGACGGGGGAATCAGTCGAGCCGTGATCAGTCCTAACAAACCTCCTTTCTTTTCCACTAAACTTACGAGACCTTGTAATTTTCCTTTCATAACTTTTCTTTCACTTCGGTTGTGGCAAATAATAATACTTGTTCTTTGTGCAGTGACCAAATTGTCAGACATCATCACTGCGGGCTCGGCCGAAGTGGCCAAGAGGTCGAAGAGGAAGAACTCTGACGAGACATCGGCACCTCCGCCGAAGAAGAAGTCGCAAGGACAGGCTGTCAAGACTTCGGCGGCCAAAAGCACTCCCACTCCAGGAGGCCAAAGCAGCTCGGCCACCGTGGCTACTGGGTCCATTTCGTCTGTGCCAGAGGGAGTGCCCCTTGGAGTCGTCACGACACTCCCGCCTCCTCCTGGCTGAGGAAAGCAGCTGAAGCCCCCGGTCAATGCAGTCTCGGGGACCTCGCTATGGAATCGTTTTCATAGCCCCCCGGTGTTTCCCGATGAGGAGAAGACACACCCCGGCGAGCACTGGTGTCCGAATTGGAAAGTTACGGTCAACGACAGGTGCAGCCATTCTCGGGTTGCCCAAGAGCTAGTGATGCACTCCACCTTGCCGAAGGACTTGGAGTTCATGAAGAAACTGACCCCGGCTGAGATGGTTCAAAGTCTCATGGTAAGCACAGCTTCCACCTCAGCCTTTGTGGCCGAGATGACATACCGATATTGTGCTCTGGTCGAGGAGCAGGACACCGGTAAGCTGCAGAATCAGATCTCCAAGTTGGAGAAAAAACTGGCGGTGTCCGAATCCGAGAAATTCGAGTTTCAGAGGCGACTTCAGGAGGCCGAGGCTAAGGGTGAGGAGGCCGAGGTTACAATGAATAGTCTCAGATCGGCCCTCGAAAATGAGCAGAAGAGGGGGGACGAGTTGAAGAAGTCCCATGAGCAAGCCCTCAACAGTGCTGGGGCCTCGGCAGTGGAGGCTTTCCGGAGGTCCGAGACCTTCATCAGTGACCTCGGCCAACTAACGAGGCCGAGCTTTATGCTTGGCTACACATCGGCTATCGACGAGACCGCAGAGCATCTCTCTCCTGAGGCCTTGGAGTCCTTGAGAAACAAAACCAACTACAATGAGAACTCCAAGGAATTGTGCGATCGGATGGCCGAGGACATCCAAGTTGGAAGAAACTTGGCCGAAATTCAGGACGAGTTCAACAAATGGCTATCCGAGCTCGACGAAATGTTCGAGGAGGGTGAAGGAGAAGAAGCTGGAGAAGACGCTGGGGGAGACGAAGCCGGAAGAGACATCGGCGAGAAAGTCGTCGAAGAGCCTGGATGGGGAGAAGAGGTTCATCCCGGCGGAGAAGAGACCGGGGAAAAAACTGCCCAGGAGGGAGCCGAGACGGGGAAAGGAGCCGAGACAAGGGTCGGCTCGTAGATATTTTGGTAGGGTTCCGAGGTGGGAGATGCTTAGTAGCACTCCCTATCTCGGTCTTGTATTCTCTTCTGTATTGTCTTTCCATTAAATGAAACGTCCATTTTCCTCATCTCGGTACTTTAATTTCTTGCTTTGATTTCGTCCCTTACTTGTCCCCCTTATTTTTTAATAGCGTAATACCGATGTTGAAAAATAACATAATATTCGAAGTCATTACTTGATTAAAAATTCAAGCATAATACAGCCTGAGATTCTCAGCGTGCCAAGTCCTCGGCACTAGAGAGCCATTTCGGTAACTCAATTTACAATACCCATTAAGGTTAGACTCCACGACTCGGTAAGGGCTTTCCCATTTCGGGCCCAATTTTCCTTGCGGCTCAACTCGGCTGACCGAGTTTTTTCTAAGTACCAAGTCTCTTGGCAGGAACCGCCGATGCTTAACGCGGGCATTGTAGTAGTGGGCTAGGGTGTTCTTGTAGGAAGCTACCCGAGTTGAGGCAATGTCCCTTTTCTCGTCGATGAGGTCGAGATCCAACTGTCTCTCTTCTCAGTTCACCTCGGCTACATAGGCTGTCAGCCGAGGACTGGGTGTGAGGATCTCAGCAGGGATGGCAGCCTCGGCTCCATAGGTCAAGGAGAAGGGGGTATCCTGCGTGGATGACCTCGGCGTGGTCCGATATGACCACAGAACGTTGGGGAGTTCCTCCACCCAAGATGATCCAGCTCGGTGTAGTCGGGTCTTGAGGCCATGCAAGAGAGTTCGGTTAAAATTTTCTGCTTGGCCATTGGCCTGAGGGTGGCTTACCGAAGTGAAGTGTTGTTTCATGCCGAGGTTCTCGCACCAAGTCTTGAATGGGTTCTCGGCAAACTGTCTCCCATTGTCCGAAATGATGATCTGAGGTATGCCGAAGCGGCAGATAATACATTTCCAAAAGAATTTTTGAATGGCCAGCCCTGAGATGGTCCGCAGAGGTTCGGCCTCGACCCACTTAGTGAAGTAGTCCACAGCGGCCACCAGAAAGGTATAACCCCCGACCGTTTTAGGGAAAGGACCTATGATATCTGTCCCCCATTGCTCAAACGGCCAGGGTGAAGTGATGG